GTGAAACCTAATTCGGTGTGACCATTCTCGCCGACAACCTGATATGCCGAAGTGGTTACGGCCATCATCGCTACATATAGTCCAACTCGGGAGATGCAATGAGTCATTGCCTATGAGAGGCTTTGATTATGACACATTTTATTATGTGATTGTCAAGTTCTGATTATGTTGTTGCTCATTCGTATAGAGGCTAGTCATATAGAGAATACCAGAAACCTCCTCCGAGTAGAGGTTCGAAATCCCCTTCGGATTGTAGGTGGAGCCCCAGGCTCCCCGTGCCTTCTTGAGGGCTCAGTCCCTTAATTTGGCGATTCGACAAGTTCACTTGTCTCCGTTAGTTCGCGAGTCCCAATATTGGCACTGTTGGAGGACTTGAGCCGTCAAGTGAGCATCACCGGAACGAAGAGGGCTCTGCGGTAATGTTCATATTTGCTTTGTATTATCCGCCGCATCGTAGTTGATTCTCTCAGGCAGACGAGAAGGTGACAGGTGCTATTGCTTCTCTCGACTTACTGCGCGAAAAAAGGCCCAGCTTGGACCAACAATGCATATCAGAGTGGAGAGGATCGGCGCTGTATGCCCGCTTTGAAGATCGCAAACTTTGACCGTCAAAGTTTGACGTCACAATGAAAATCAAATTCTGATATCTCGCGAAATTCATCGCGTATATCATGAAATATGGGTGTGCTGGTTCAGATAATGGTTGATGTCGACATAATACTAATCTATCAACTGTTGCCCACAGGCTGTTGCCGTAACTAAGTTTCCACGGCCATCTTTACGAATCAGCTTATAAGCATATGGAGAACATTCAGTGATCACATACTCATATGGATACAATCTCGCACCAGATCGTCTTTCAGCTTTGGGTTTAAGCAACCAAACCAATTGACCCTTTCGAAAGGTAACCAATCCAGAAGAAGGTTCACTAGCAGGAACCTCGACGGGCATCTAGTACGCACATATCAATCAATCCAGTATTCAGCAGGTGACGATCCTTGGAGTGCCGAGTGTGGACATCTGTTATAAACATGTATAACAGTCTTCAATCGTTCTTGAAGTGGGAGATCAATAGATAATACAGATAGTATGAGTCGCAAAGTTGAATGTAGCCGTTCTACTATTCCATTGGCTTGAGCTCGATGGCCTGATGTTAATACCAATCGTACTCCTCTATCCTCCAACTGCTGACGTATCCCTGTGAAAATACCACGATCAGATCTCAGAAATGAAGGATAGGCTATCTTCAGGTAATCTTCAACCTCAGAAGCACTACAATGAGGAAGTTCTTCATGAACATCTACAACGGCAGCTTCACGAAAGACCGAAGGTAAATAAAGAAGACCCCGACGCCATAGCAACCCTGGGTTGCCAACCCATCGGCAGACCCACTCACACCACTCTCCAAGAATGGTTTCGTATGCCCATCGTTGGTTATTGTGTCGTCGGCTAATGCCTTATTACAGCATATAACATGTTGCGACGCTCAGTAGGTCTCGTACGTGTCTTCTCAATCCTCCCTTATCAGTAATTTGAACACCATTTCCAACCTACCTTGTACACCAGTGGTGTGACACCACCGTAGAGGAAATGAGCGAGTCGGCGTTTAGCTTCGCCACTCGCGATCATCCCGCTGTACACGATTGTAGACCTAACCACAGTTAGGAGCCCTGCCTACAGTTCCGCGCCGTTCATGGTTCAAGGGACGCGAGGTTCAGTTTGGTGGGTGGATCTGCCTGCTGCTGTGCTCGGTGAGCACTGCTCAGCCAATTTCTGGTTGTAGCCTACCTACAGCTTGTAGGTAGTGGAGAGACTCTGTCCAACTTGGAAGTTGCTGTCGAGATATCCCCTCCGTACGTCAAGAGGCTCCTGAGGTGTCCGTTTCCCTGGCACGTGACCGGCGTGACGCGTGACACGCGTCGCGTGTATATGCCAAACCGCTAGAGGATCCCTTACTCCGATTTCCGTCTGACTTCTCTCAAATTTAGAGTATAAGCATCCTATCAAGTAGTTACTCCGTATTGGCTTAGCAGAGGTACGTTGTTGTGACCATCACTTATCGGCATTGTGAGCCTCACAATGTGAGGACGCAGGTGATTAGGTGTGACAGTCACACTGTGACTTCAATGGAGTTATTCCACGCTGCAAACTTCTTGGCAGCTTCTCGTGTAGTCGTTCTATCATCCGTATTCTACATGTGGGCTTCTACAAAACTCCTGTGTCTGTACGCTTTCAGTGCACCTGGTGATGCAGATACCTATACGGGTCACCCGTTGCAGTTCTACAAGCAAGTGCGATATCCTTGGTATATCAGAGAACACCCCTACTGCTGGAACGGAACGATTCCACATTACCGAAATTATACTTGGGATTCCTATTTCGACTACCTCATTAGCTCTGGTGCTAACTTACAGCTGGGTGGATATATGATCAAAGAAACAAGCAAAATCGAGGTGGACTTCTACGACCCTTGGAGCAGAACTGGTTTCAAAGCTCTGAGGGAACGAGCGGATGCGGCCGGCAGAGTGATAATGGCCCAGTTTGGATCATATCTCAAAGGAACCTTCGACAAGGATTCTTTCATGGAGAGTGCCAAAGAGTTCGTGAAGATTTTTCCTGTTGACGGCTTCAGTGTGGGCTTTTCAGCAGAGCCCGGTAAATCCCAAGTTGTGAAGGAGCTTGTCGCGGCTATTAAAGAGCTCAACCTACGTGTGTCGTTATGGTGAGTCAACAAATACCTCGGAGCAGGAGAATCCTGTTGTGATCACTGGTTTTAGCTGTTGCTTCGTCATGGTAGGTTCAAAACGTCTAATTGGCAGGAACTCAAACAAACCGGCCTAGGGAAGATGGTTGATAATGTCGTAGTTATTCCGTGGCCAAGTGACAAGAACGAGTCCATAGAAAACTTCAATACGGACCGTTTCGCCGAAGATATGATCAAAGATGTCGTCAAAGCTGGTGTAGATCTCAATAAGCTGTTTTTTTTCGTAAGTGTACACGACTCCTACAATATTCAGTACCTTGCTGCTTTTCTGCGATAGATAGTTTTCTTTGGACTCACCTTCTGCATCGTTGGCGCGTTCGCTGAAACGGACCTCATAGCTACTGTGTGGCGTGAAATCCAGTGTTGCTTTTTAGATACCACTAATCGCTAGGGCAACCTACTTCAGCTCGGACTTGGGATACTCGAATGTAATCTGCGACTATGGGGCGGACCCCAGGGGCAACGGATCAGTCATCTTCCCGGATGGGAGCGGCTACTATTTCTTTTCACAAACTCGTGCAATCGAGAAAGTTGACCTGGCAAAGAAGTACGGACTGCACGGCATTGGACTACAAGGCGGCGACTCTGATGATAATGATCTGTACCCTTGGGACACAGACTCCTTGTTTCACGCTATTGCCTCAACTCGCGGACGATGATCGTCCGACGATCCCTCACAGAGTAGTACGCAAGTATTTCTAAGGGGCGTCTCCGAGAGGTAGCCTCTCAAGCTGAGCTCTTATTACATTTCACTTCAATGTCCAGTGGCAGGGTGTGTCCACGACCTTGGGTGCATGATACGTGATGCAATAACAGCTGCTGATGGTCATTGATCATTTCTCTCCTCACCTTTTTCACATTGAACTACCGCCAGTTCGACAACACCTTATATCACTCATTACGGAAGAAAGCTTCACTTCCCGCGAGGGATGTACTTGAGTTGGAAAGTTGAGAAAGAGTTGAGATACAGTTTCTCAGAAACTGTTGCGGCGCTACTGTTTCATTAACCGGTCTATTCAATTCACCAGATTCGGACCGAATCATTCGGTGATCGGTCCCGCCTGATTTTCAGACCATTCGTTTCGGAATGTCTAAGATTTGGACCCAAAGTGCTTCAATGAGTTCCAGCAGGGAATTAGCTACTCAGTAGATGAACAAAGTCGTCTCTTTATTTAAGAGTCGAGTGAGGGGATTTGCTGCCAGCGGCAGAGAGTAAACTACTCTTGGGGCAATCACTCGCCGCCCAAAGATGAAAGTTTTTCCTGGAGCCGTATGCGGACACTGATTCACAAATCTGAGTCTATGATTCAACTCACTCTCTGACTCCGATTCACGATTCAACTCACACCATTTTCTCTCGAAAAAACGAACCCGAGGTTCGTTTTTTCAACAAATATGCCTTCTGGGGTCTTGGAGGAGCAGAGTTCCAGCCAGCGTCGACATTGATTCGACAGAGGTACAGAAGATAGCTGTCTCTGTTCGAAGGGAGCTACTCTGAGTCAGAAGAAGAATAAGTTATATCAATGATGATGTGTATGTTTCTTCGCAATATGTAAGACTCGAGTAAATCGAGCTTGCAGTGTTGTTAATCAAAAGGGGGAATGGCCATCTACAGTGAAACCCGATTCGGACGATCACGGTGATCAGTGCAGTTTCATGGGGTGTTGCGCTGATCTCCGAAGCCGGAAATATCTGACAAGACCATGATGAACGATTCATCTATGAGTTCAAGCTGTTCTAAGTGGACAACCTGAAATCTGTCGGACAGCCACGTCCTCGGGTTGCTTCGTCACGACAAGTCAGATATTTCAGGATCGTTTACGGCTTAGATCGTCCGGACCTCGGGTTTGATTGTTGGTGGTTCTACCCTTTGGACTGACAGTCAGACCGAGTGGCTCGAGCGTTAGCACCGTTTTAACTGTGCTGAACTGTTTTAGTCTGAACACCATATGGCCGATACGATAGCTGAATATAATACTAGGTGTCGGCTCATGAATATTTCAGCTGAGGTACACTCGAGTTACACCAGTAATACGTGTGGAAGTTCCACAGTGGAACAGTTATGCGCGAGTGTTAACACGCATTAAACCATGGGGGATGATTTGCAAATCAAGATTGCAGCTTGGTGGAGCTCTCGGCCAGTTCAATGAGAGATGTAGTAGGACTCTCATCCGGTAAGGGGAGCGAGGAACCCTTCATCA